TTCTGCAAAGCTTTTCTGTTAGGAAATGCCTGTGTATAAACTCCAAGTATCCACTTAGAACACATCTGAATACTTATGTGTGCTTTTGGAAAGGAGGCCAATTGTCACTCAAGACTGTACCAAGAAATAACATACAAGGAATATGAGTGAACATAATTCTAGAACCTTGTTCATAGCCTAAGTGTATCTAACCACTAATTGCATCACCTGGAAGAATCACAAGAGCAATAGGGAGTGTTTAAGAAGTGAAAAGCCCATTAGGATTCAAATCCAAAATTAGAAAAACAAATAAATAAAACCACTGTGCATATCTCGTCTTCAGAAGTTAGATAAACTTTCTTAGAATATGCATAATGTATCACTAATCTTCAAATCATTCTAGTCTAGAGAGAATGCACCTTTCCTACATTACATTAACCAGTCTCAGGACTATCTGTAAAACCTGCTTTTGTCAAGATCAGTCATGACATTCTGTAATACCGTTCTGTAATTATTCATTACTAAAACTGGAGGCATATACTAAATAATTCAGCTAGGTAAATTCCTATTTTTGCTGCCAATTACCTATAATCTGCTTTAGTTTCATTCAGTACTGTGAAAATGGTTGCAATAAGAATTGCACTAGAGATTTGAAATGATTAAAGACAGAAAAAAAAAAAAGAAAAAAAAAGTTAACTAAGAAAAAGTACTTTGATCATTTCAGCATCCTATTATACACCAAGAATATTCTGAGGAAGAACAAGGTATTTCACTACAAACTTTTGATCAGTTCTGTACAACGCAACAAATCACGAACTAAATACAAAGCTGTTCTCTGTGAATAATATCTTTTCTGGCATGTGATATCTTTTTCATCATACATGCATAAACAAGCCCTCTCAAAACAATAACGTCATTCAAAATAGTATAAAACCTTAAACTGTACACTGTTACATAATCTATATTTTACTTTCCCTGATCCTAACATTTAGAAAAACTAGTCAATGCATTCACTTATTATTCACATATATGCATAACAGTCACACTAACAATATAGTGTTTGCGAAACAGGTAGATATGTCACTGACACTAACAGTATGTATCTCATAGATTCTATGGGGAGTATACAGGAAAGTATTTGTCTAGGTGCATCTGATTATCTCAGTGATATACCTGCTACATTTCAGGTAGATACACCTCTGCTGAGGCCATGATTGTAATGAAAAAAATGAAGTTACAATTTTTAGTAGAACAACAACTCTGTTAAAGAAAAAGAAGCTGAGACAGTGTGAAAAAATACATATGGAAATACTAAATTTCAACAGCAAGAATAGAGCAAATGGAGAAGAAAAGGCAAGGTAAGGCAGGAGGATCACAGAATATCTATAATCAATTCAGTATTCCAGTTATGGACTAGGCTAGCAAGCAAATTACAAACTGTATAGAAAGAATAATCACATCCTTAGTTAGAGACTTTGCCTTGTATATCCAATCAGAGGAATGTCTTTCCATCCGACACGATTCATCTGAACAGTAAGCAGGAGGTGTATTTGTATGCTGGGGAAATAAGAGTTCCGGGCAAAAATGACTGCCTTCTTTTAGCAATTACTCTGGAGATTTGGCTGAGCAGAATTGCTAAACATGGCACCCTGCAACACTTCAATGAGACTTTGGTTCTGCTGTATTTTCCTTTAGTTTCTCAAGGGAAGACAGATTGTGGCATTTAAAATGAGGCTGAATAATATGCTGCAAAATATTCAGTAAATTAAAAAAAAAAAAAAAGAGAGAAGAAAAGAAAAGAAAAAGAAAAGCTACAGAAAGCCATTCTCTCTAATTCTGGTTCTCAGTAAATACATTTACAATAAAAGAGAGAAAACCATGTTAATAACCACAACTGTTGCATGTATATGAAATTACTTTACCATGAAAGGTAAAAGTAGCCACGGAGAGACGAAGCAAATTGTTCTTTCTTCCAGGCAGCATTATAACCTTCTGCGCCTTGTAACTTGGCTTACGAGTTTTACAGCACAGTTCCTAAGCCTGGGACACAGCTAGAGAGAAACTCTGAAGTACATGATATACTCCTACTTGTTGAGTATTGCATATCTGGAAGCTATACTAATTTTACCTGGATACAGTTGTGATGGAGAAACGTTTCCATTGTACTCTACAGTAGTTGCAAACTTTGGAAGTGAAGGAAAATCTCTAATATTCTCAAGAGAATTTTCAAAGTTTTCAATAATATTCAAGGCATTTTCAAACTGCCTAACATTCTGTGAAAATTTGCTTTGTCTGTGCTGCAAGCAGTAAGCAAACTTTTCTTCAGGTGCCTTAGGGTTTTAGGAGAAATGGCTGTCATTCTCTTAGGAACACTACTTATTTAATCCAAGGAAGGTGACTATTTTTCTCTCAAATTTTTACCTTGATTAAGTAGTAGAGAGAATTTAATTCTGATGGTAAGTGGATAGTTGAAGTGAATTTCTCTAAGCCCAATAAAAATACTGAGAGGAAAAAAAAAAAAAGAGGAAAAAGAAAAGAAAAAAAAAGAAAAAAAAAAAAGGAAAAGGATGTGTCATCATTTTTGAGCCACGAAAGGGGTTTCTTGACATGAAGTGCCCTTAACTGTGTAGAGATGTCTGGTCTTTGACCCTTCTGTTATGATTGCAAAACCAGAACCACTGCCACAACCTGCAATAGTTTTGTAACATGTTTCTTTATCGTCACCATTTGAACTCACTCCAACATCATATTTCAGAGAACTAAACAACTGGCAAACTGCAATAACTTTGAAATTGATATAGTCTAAACTCGCTTCAAATATTTGTCCTGAAGGTTAAAGCTTAGCTATTTTAATTTCAGATTGCCAAGCTATGAAACTAACAATGTTAGGAATTTTAGTACATTGATCTTCTCTTCTTATTCAACATTTCAAGTGCAACAAAATACCCTTAAAAATTAACTTTCTCTCTTTAATCACTTTAATAAAATACTTTCCTCTCTATAGTCAGGAAAACATTGTAACTACTTTGCCTCTACATATACTTTCCAACATAAATATCCACAAATGACAAAAAGAAATTAATTCTAAATAATGAAGGGAAATTGTTTCATCTTATATATCACAGAAAGTACTGCAGAAGGAACTCTGTTCAATAAGTCTTCATATAAAATCATAACATTGAATTCTCGGGGTTGTGCACTGTGATTTGTACTATATTTCTGCACCATTGATATTTCTTCTTATGAAGAATAATATGTTGACATGGCCAAGACTACAATAGTGGCCACCAAGTTGACAAAAAATAAAGCATGGAATTTCCAGTTAAAAAAAATCTAATCAACTTTTATATAATATATAATTTTATAATTTTATTGCTTTCAGAGAAAAGAGTTTGCGCTTTGGATAGCTAAATTAAAATTATTAGATTTTAACTTGACACTGAATTTTGAAGACATTGAAAAAGTAAAAGAAGAAAACTTTTTTTAATGGATGAATGTTTCTGATAATATTCGCTCAAATAAATAATATGAAATCACTTCTGCTTTTAGATCAAGATGTGATAGGTTGTAATATAGTTCAGTAGCATCACAAAAAGAAGGAATTCAGAATGCTGATATAATTTAACTGGATTAGGAGGATTAGATGGTCTCTGGGTTAGATGGTGTCTAGTTTTAAAGTTAGAAACAATTTTACTTGTTTATTTTGTAAATTTTCCACATATCAATGAATAGAACGACATAAAGCAAAAGATAAGAAGCCATTCTGGATTGGTGGTCTTAGCTCTGCAATTAATGTACACCAAGTAATGTCCTTTTATATGTTTGCAGGAAATGAAATAGTAGACAACTTTATTCTTCTCAATGTTTAGTGCTTGGAAAGCTTTGCTCGAACTTGTCATATTCTGGAGCATTAACATTTTTCATATAAAAAGGATGCATAATTGGAGCTGTAAAACTATTATTACAGTTTTACTAATGGATAGATAAAAGGATAGATAAAACCCATACAAGAAATCTAACATGACAAAAAAAAAAAAAACGCATTTCTCACAGGAAGATCAGGGTTTGTATTTCTCATTACTTAAGTTTCAGTAGTACTGTAACTTTCAATTTATTGCAGAACAAACAAAAAAGAGTATTTGGTATTTGAAGACTTTGACTATTTAAACAGCGAGAGGTCAGAAAGCACACCGAGGGCAGAGAAAACACTAGAAATGAAAACATATTTTTCTGAACTATGACATAAAGTCATCGGGCCACTTCATTATTCAAAATTGTTCTGCCAATTAGAAATACATGACAGTTACTCCTGTTGTCTTAGCAGAGGGGGGAAATAGAGCAAAAGGAAAAAAAAATCCCTTTTAAAAAGCTTGCTTACCGTTAGAAATTCCTACTCAGGTACTGTTGTGTGAGATGTATCAAACTGCTGCTGAGATAACAAGATATCATGATATAATTTTGAGCTTCAGAAAAATCTGTCATTAAAGGAGCACTGACAGAGCACAGTCACCTCTTAAAACTGTCAGTGCTCCCTAGATTCAGGAGAAAAAAAAGGTCTTCACAGAATAGTCCTACAGGAGTGGTAGGGCAGAGGGAAATTCTAAATAAATAAAAAAAAAAAAGG